GCGCGGGGGGTGCCTCTCCCGGCGCCGTGGCCGTCGGCAGCGCGGCTCCTTAACAAAGGGCTGGAGCGGCGTCTTGGCCGTTCCTCCCTGCGCTCGGTGCGACCCAGCCCTTTGCTGGGATTGTCGGAAAGGATGTGGCGGGGGGTAGTCGGTTTGTTGGAAAGGATGTGGTGGGGGATAGTTGGGGGATTTTTTAAATCGCCGAAGTAGCTGACAGTGTGTGAAAGTCAGTTTCTTTTCTGTGTTACAGCATCTTTTCTTTTTTTTGTTACATTCTCTCACCTTGGTCATCTCTGCTCCCACATTTAGTATCCTAAGTAATGATAACGCTCAGATTTTAAGAGCCAGGCCTGCATTTGTGCTTATCTGCAAGTGGCACCTGCAATATTTGTGATGCCACTTGCTTGGAGGCAAATATTTTGATGTAATGAAAATGTAGCTGATAGGGGATTGTTTGTTTTGAACGGGCTTCTGCTTTTTCCAGGGTAATGTTTAATCAGCAGAGCCATAGAACAGGTCAGGTCTGTAATTTAAAGATGGAGGAGGAAAATAAAGGAAAGAAATAGTTTTGTTTTCCTTAAAGCTGATCCAGATTCCTATACATTTTTAGCTTGCTGAATGATGTGCTCTCCTTATCTGTCTCTCTGCATACAAAAAGCTGGCATTACTTTGGCCTGGGGAGATGCAGATGAAGACTGTTTTCTCTGAGTATAGTGCTCCTATTTTCTCTTTCGGGACTACAACAAAGGCTGGAAGCTTTCAGGAACTGTCCTTGCATAATTGGGCCTTTGGTTTCCATATGAACTTTTAGAGAAAGTTGTCCGCTGGCAATGTACAGGCGATGTCAAAAGGAAATCCTACAGCAAGTAGCCATTTAAATGAGCTCTCGTTTTACAAACATACAACAGGCTAGTGCTGAGCTAAAGTAAACGTTTCATCTGGCCTGTCATCAAAAGCAGTTTTCAGGTATAAAACTACCAGTAGCAAATACCTGATCTTGCAGGTATTTATTGATCAACAGTATAAATGAGAGAAGCTTCTGTTTGCAGATTATTGATGGGGACTTCTCTACCAACTGAAAGGAGGGGCAAGCTCTAAATTTTGGTGGAATTGGGGTACCTGTTGTGAAAAGTGACAAGGCCAATGAACAGATGAGGGGAAAATGCTGTTCCCACAGGTGCTGGGCAGAATCCCGTCCGACAAGCCAGCGTTGCTGCAGGAATCCCGTACTCTGTTCCTGCCTGGAGCTGCCAGATGATCTGTGGGTCAGGCTTAAAGGCTGTGTGTCTGGCTGCTCAGTCCATACTGACTGGAGACTCCAGCATTGTGGTCGCAGGAGGCATGGAAAGTATGAGCAAGGTAAAGCAAAGGATTGCACTCACATCACACTGACTTGCTGGGAGCAAGCAGCATTAATGTTGAAGCTCTGCATTTCTAGGCTGATGCTCTGGAGGCAGGTGG